GATGTGACAACGTTCTGCGCTTTGCGCAGTCAACTAAGGGTGAGGCAGCTGCCGCCCGACAGCACCCTCCGGCGCGAGCCAGGGAGCGCGAACTCCGGCCTCTCAGCCCACGACTGCGCCGACATGTAAGGGGGACGCCCTGGACCATGTTGGTTCGACATTGGGGGGTGACGGCATCCCGGTGGTTACTCGATCCATCCGGCCCTTCCACGGCGCGTCGTTCGGAAAGGGCCAATTGGTAGGGACCCGCTGAAAGGGGTGTCCGACGAGTTGAGTCCCGGACAAAAGACGGTGTAACCAGTGGTGGTTATGCTCACTGAGCTTAACCGCCAGCCTCTTTCTGCACTCTGGGCACCTGATTCCGGTTGACAGTGCGTGGCGCTTTGTTGGGAGGCAGTCAGAACACCCTGTTCTTCTAGAGAACATCCCCACTGCCCTGTCAGTCAGGTAGCAGCGTCTGCTAGCTGTGTAGGAGGTTTTTGTGCCTTCTAGAGGCTTTTCCTCAGAGTAGAAGACAGCGCAGACTCGTCATGGAACATCACAGGATGTCGTGACCGATCATAATCTAGTATTTGATTGGCTGTTGGAGGAACTGGCACATCTAGAGCCAGTTCCTCCTCTGTCGTCAGAATTAATTCACTTCCAGTTCTCCCTTCCACTACTTACCTGTCGCTGCTGCAACCTGCCCATCCAACTAAAACAGCGAAGACGGCAACGACAGCAACAGCGATAGCAGCAGTCGGACAGTTCAGAATTAGAGAAGTAACATTTTTCTCTCTTCTTATTGGTCGCATCTAAATATGCAGCTATGTTGTGGAAAGGTCAGAAAAACTCTATATTTCGATTCTTTTTTGGCAGGCACCCTCCAAGCTGTCGACTACTGTCAGCGTGAGTTCAAAACCTCATTAACGTAAAAAATCACTTTAACATACATCTGTGGAATGTGGCTTTTTCAACCTCCGAAACTTAGAGATTGTAGCTGAAATAATGCTTTACAACCACATACCGAATAAATTGTATTACATGAGAAAAACAAGCAAACAAATTTGATACCATTTTGAGAATTCAATTACCAGTGGTCGACAGCTGTGAGGGGGCCTTTGTGAATAATTTTTGCTGCATAAATGCTACTACGTGGTACTACGTTATGCATATACAGTAGTAGCAATAAACAGTTTTAACTGTTTATTGCTAGCATTGTTCATATTAAAATATGAAGAACATTATAGCACATAGGCCAAGCTACAAAGTGAGTATTTAAAATACACATCCTCAATGTTGATATTATCGCTAAAGCGATGCTATAAAATTTTAACATGATTAATATTTCACTGTATTAAATTATATACCTCATAATCGCGTTTATTATTCTATGTGAAGATCTGAGAAGAATCCTCTCATAATCGATACTCATGATCAGAAGCCCCCTCGGATCTGTAAGTCATCTTGATCAAGGTATAATGATTTGCTTACAAATTTTGTATTTAGGGTATTTGATTTTAAAGAGAGTATCCTTTTGCGTTCACAAGGGTTTTTGGACGATGCATTCTTTCCATTCCGGATAGACATGAAGAGGATATATATTTGCAAAGGTTTCTTCAAATATATCTGCGCCGTTTGATTGGTTCCTGAACATACAGATCTTAAATTGAGTCATGTGTCTTAAATTGATTTTTTACGCTAATGTAAGCAATCATTGATTTGCCGATGCATCATTGATTTATCGAACACCTTGGCCAATAGAATGTCAGAATTGATAAGATTAGATAAAACTATTGACTGCAACCGTGGTGAGTTAATATTTTTCCAGCAATTAAATATGTTATAGAGTCTCAACCGTATTTGGAGGTATTATAGGGGTCTGTCTGGATCAGGCACATAAGTGACTCGAAATACATCAGTTTTCAACCATTTTCTATGCAGTTGGTCGATAAAAAATCTGCAAATCGATTCTAATAAATCATTCATTCAACGTGTCGTTAACACAAAATGTTATCTTGATGGAAATCGGCTTCAAATATACTATACCAAATGAGAAGTATAGCTCGAAAATGACTAGGGTTAAAATTAAACAACTCTAATTGGACAAAAATGCTTGTTTCCTTTTACTTGTACGAAATGAATCGAAATATTATCTTATGGAGTTTAACGTATATGTGTATTCATGAGCGTTGCACTACTGTACTTAAGTATTGATTAGCCGCCAGGCTTCAAATACGTTTTTTCTCCAAGCGTTCAACGCATCTAAAGTAACGTAAAAGTCTAATTTAACAGTGTAAGAACACTTTTTCTGAGGTGCTGCCGTGGAAGGCATGTAAGCTTAACTCGACTGGTTCGAATCTGATTATATTTCTACAATATGTTACATAATGCCAAAATCCAGGCCTATTTGGGAGTTATGATTGGGATATGTTTTCTGTTATGATTCATTATCATTCACACCACTTTGTCCACAAAAGCTGAACAAGCGGTCTAATTTAACAGTAAGGTGCACCATTTTAAGGTTAGGCTTTGTTTACCCCTTTCAATATTTTTTGGGCTGATAGGTTAAAAACTGCCTTTCTACAAATTGATTCGCTAATTCACCTTAATCGAGCACCTTAAAGTTAACCGTTAGACTTTTACGCAATTCTTGAATCTGATTGGTGCTAAATCACGAGCGTGTCATAAGTGAGTAGTTAGTTATACTTTCTCAAAATTCATAATATTATATACTTAAAGTATATATTATGATTTGTATTGACCCCTACAAATAGTACGAGTAGTACACAAAGTACTGTTTTTTCCCAATTTAAAGTTCACATCATGGTTAACGTAAAAAATAGCTTATCCAAGTCCTGCCGTCTAACGATGCATCGCGCAGATACTGTAGAGGTACATATATGTCGTCCTGGCCGCTCGTTTCTGGCATTTTGATGGCACTATTCAGTCGTGGTCGTGGCGGCAAATCGCGTTAAACTGTCATCTTGCAGCCGGAACATCTTCCACTCGTTCATGAGGGTGGCGCCAACCGTCTTACCCACGTAGAAGTTGATTGTCGTGTTCTGGAAACATCCAATGCACGGCACATGGGCTTGCCCACCATTTTCATGTTCTACGGATGCTTGCCAGTGATTCCACCCAGCTTGCCCCTGGCCCGCACATCCGTTCTAGATTCTTCCACACAGGAACTACGATCCTCTTCATCTCTTAATCATCAATCAATCACTTTTCATTTCACTCATCGATCATCACATCTCAACCCGGGAGACGTGACATTGATCGCGGGGGTATTCCAGTCGATGGCACTCCATTCCATGCGACCACATCCCTTTGCCAATGCCAGCGCCGCCAGATGCTTCATGAGGGTGGTGCCGACGCCTTGTCCTCGAACGCTGGGTCGCACGTACAGGTCTTCGAGGTATAGACCAGGCTACATCTACGCTCAATCGCATGTACCCATATGGGAGATAGGTCAGTACCTTGCTGAGGAACGTGGAATAGTTAAAGTAGAACAAGGCAAAGCCCACTTCGGCGCCGTCCACGGACGCAAGGACGACGTGCGCATACTTGTGTCGAAACAGAGTGTCGCGGAGGTCCTCGTGAGTGCCCACATGCGCATGAGCTAGCTTTTCGTACGTCGCCAGTTCATGGATGAAGTCATAGATCAATGGAACGTCGGCCTCGGTGGCGTCACGGAGAACTATCGCCATGTTTGTCGTTGTGGAAAGGCGTTTAACGTCTAATGTAACGAACTTGTTTTGGTTAAAGTAGGTTTATTTATTTACGCTTACTCGTACTTAGTACTACGTAGTAGTAGAGTAAGCCTAAATAAATAAACCTACTTTAACCAAACTCGTGTAGAATAACCATCCTTCCCAAAGCCACCCATCTACGCTACTGTATTGGTGATCCATCACTTTGGTACGCAGCTTAACTGCTTTGAACTATACGTCGGTAGCACTTCTACGTTTTATGAATGAGCTAACGTTCGTTACATGTTGCTATTGTATTGTGATGAGCGATAGAACTGTAAAATAGCGTTTACAGACGCACCGGTGGGGAATGTAGGCCAGTCGACGTACTGTTAATTACTTGGATTACATCGAATGTGATCCAATCACAGTTGATCCACCAATTCAACCAACACACAGCTGTGCCGTGGTGAGTAAGTACATTCTTGTGACCTTAAGTGGTATCCTTAGACAACTACTTCGTACCAGGAGCTTCGCTGCGCTTTCTCTTTTGATAGGGTCGACTTGTTTTTGCACCCCGACGTTGACGAATGAGCCGAGCAACCGTAACAACCTTGAGCTGGCCGACGCGACGTTGGCGTTCCAGTGGTGTTGTTGAAAGAAGCAGATGTAAGTCGCGCACGGCGACGTCGAACGATTCGGCAGCTTTGCATTCGTTCCAACTTGCAGGTAGACTACAGCCACAACACTCCATGTATCGATCAGCCAACTCCGTCATGACTAGCTTCCATTCTGATAATATTCGCCGCCGCTTCTTGAAGCCGAGGTCGCGTGAATCGATGGCGTTGTACGGGACATATTTCAAACGATCGTTACCTAGCCACCAAAGTGACTAAGCTGTTGCTGTCTCGGAGGGGGGGAATTCAAATCCCTCTGGAAGCTTGTGCATCCGTCCGCCCCACGAATACAGAAACGTAACTCGCTGACTTTGCTCGTCTTCCCGGCGTAATGCAGGTTCGTCTAAGTGTCGTCCAACCCCAAGAACTTGCAGCGCATCCACTATTGTTTGTTTGATTAGCACGCTAGTGATAGTTCCGTGCGTCACATCACGCTCGTCGAGCATGCCCCGCATTTGATCGACTATGCTTCTGGGCATGGCGTCGATAGACGAGCCTTGGTGCTCCAGAAGTCTGTAAACTTCGATATACGGTGGGATGCCAGATGGTTGCAGCCGCTGGTTTGTCTGCTTTGAGCGCTTCGAGCATCAGGGGTTGGCGGAAGATGGGCGTGCCAAAAACGATGTGTTTGGCCGGAAGGGTATCAACCACGTAATCGAAGTGGCACACAAGCGAGGCCGGATGCCACGCATTGAGGCTACTTTGGACAGTGTGGGGAACGTGACATCCAGTGCGGCGACGCAGCGTCGCTGTTGTTGTCGACAAAATGCGGCGGCAGGACAGCAAAATTGGCTTGGTTGAGTGGTAGCCCTGCAACAACCCGGCCAACAAACTCGTCGCCAGCACGCTCATAGTGCATGTACCGCTCAAACACACTGCCCAGTGACTAGCCGCAACGAAGACAAATGCTGACAAGCAAAGGGCCACCCGTACTACCAGATGAAACAAACGTGGCCGCACCCTTACGAATCGAGTGGGTGCCAATTTCACTGCTGCCGACAGGATTGTCTTCGATTAGTGCCAGTTTCAGGCCTTTGCCAAATCTCGTGCGCTGAGACGAGCCGGGAAAGAGTGCACCAGCGGCAAGCATCGGGTTGCAGGCAAGGTACAATCCAAGTGCAAGAAAGGCGCATGTGTGTGTTTGAAGTGGGTTGGCATAGATGTGCCGCGGGTCACGACGCTTGCTCCCATCTTGGTCTGTCTTGGACTTGAAGAATGGTCGTTTTCCGCTGTCCTTCACAGAAGTCGTCTGCTCACTTGTAGCTGTAATACGTCGTATGCCTAATAGATCCAATCATGTCATAGTTTTCTGTAGCTAGCAGTACCTTGGAACACGACTTTTAAATCACCGTCAAACTATGAGGGCAACGGAACTTTTTGCATCTTGTAATAGTTTCGCATTGCCGACCTGTAGCCAGACATCGTGCTTGCCTTCACAGCAGTGTTCTGCATGGTCCAGACGATAAACCGGACAAAGTCTTCGTACGAAAACGCTGCCAGATTGATCGAGCCGTCGGCACTCAGCAGAGCATCGGCTTGATTGGTCTGCTGAATCCACTTGACGACTTGACGGATGCCTGACGCGTAGGCCGTTTTGGATCTTTCGGCCACCAGAGCTCCGTGAATATCCTCCAGCGTTGAAGTTTCGCGCTGCGGTACCGTCGCCATATCAAGTAATGATAGTGTAGACATGCATACATAGTATTTCATCCAATCACTGCTCGAGGATACACGATAGGCCAGGTGGCCTACAAAGGACCAGCATTTCCATTGTTTTCATTTATCTAGCTATTTGTATTTGCCGTGCATTAATTCATTGAGAAAAGTAGAAAAGTAGGCCAGGTCGCCTACGTAACTATTGAATTTAGTATACCTGCCCTACGTAGTTCATTCAATGATCATTATTGGGGTTATGTTTAACATATAGGTTAAATGAATACCCTATACATGGTACGGAGTACTTTAGACTTAAACAGGGGACTGTACTCCTGTATACAATGACCTAGCATTATCCTAATTTACTCTCATCTATACTAATTAGGATATGACCTAATATTAATGGTGGATGACGTTGGGATGACGTTTGGATGACACATGATACTATCACGGATATTTGAAATCCATATAAATAATTCGAAGTACTATTAATATTAATAGTAGTATGTAGTTACTGACGTTAGTATGTACAGTACTACCAGTACTTGCTCTTGTTCTCAAGTTGAAGTTCACATCCTGGTTAAAAATAGCTTGTCCAAGTCCTGACGCCAATGCTCCGGTTCGTGGTTCTTGGTGCTGTGGCGCTATGGGGGCTGCATCTAGCCTATGCACAGGTACAGTAGTGTACGAAGTGCAGTATATGCATTATTTTCTTTCATGATCGTAGACAGCCCTGCCCAAACTGACCCCGTTATCAACTGGTACATCATATCACGTTCTTCACCAGCACGTTGCAAAGTTTTCCGATTGTGCTTATTAGGTTGTCGCGATGTGGATGTGGTGTCGTGCAAGATGAATTGTGCGAGCCAATACAAAGACGACAGTAGGTTCACGTGTCCGTGCTACAGGTACATACCACCAATCCCCCCCCTGCCCATCACCCCCCCTTGTTGTCACTTTCAAAGCAAAATGGGCGAGTGCTTGGTTCGCGTCGGTTGCTCGTTCGTCCAGCGCAAACAAGTCATGACGTCGTGTACTCGAAAAGGGTACTGCAAAGCCGGGTACTGCACCTACCGAGTGGGGGACTTCACGCCCCGAAACGGCGTTCGAGCCGAGATCTTTGCCAAGTCAGCCATTTCGCCCCCGGGGTCGCCCTGCGTGGATGGCTGCTGTCCTGACAGTAGGGGCAAGACTTGTATCGAAGACCCGGCGCTCAAGGTGCTCCGGGAGCCCAGCCGGGCGTACCGCAATGAAGAAGTTCAGCTTCCCCCAAGGCAGTACGTGAGCAATGAGGCCATATGTTTTTTTCGTATGACATGGGTTCAATGGGATGGGGGGCTGTTTTTGGCAGTGCCAGGTCCTGTTGAATAACTTGTGTGTGTGATATAGTGGAGACCCACGACTGAGTGTGAACCAAAACTACGACTTGATGCCGTACAGTCTTCCACTCCAAAATTTGCCACCGGTGGACGCCAATTTTATGCTTACGTTTCGACAAGTCGAAGACACCAAGGTCAATAATGGGGCCGTCGGTTCAACCACCAGATTCACCCAAACGACGTTGAGTAATAGCACTAACAATTGAAGACTCTTACGATCCTAATAGTTTACAGGTACTATACGTATATGGAGCCAGGCACATTTTGGCCGAAAAGGAGCATCAAGTATCAATCGAATGTGTAAAGGCAGACCTCCACCGCAGGTTTTGGTGGCGCAAAGCCCTACACGTGCGATGTCGTTCAATGATAGACCAGCGTAAGAGCGTTTTGGGCGCCTAAAATTTTTATCAGCAACCCTTGTGTGTGTGGGGGGGGTTGTCCAGCGCTTTGCAATAAATTATTTTCTCTATTTAATTGTCAATTATGTTTTTTCCATAGCCTGAGCATACATATGTACTACTAACCACACTACGATAAGTACACGTGTAGTGTGGTCTTATGCACTACATGCATACGTAGTATGTAGTGGTTGGCCTTTTCCACCATGAAGTATATAAAATAAAGCAATCCTGTTTTCATACGATTTAGACGCGGTTCATGGTTGTGTAATGGGTCGATCCCACGTTCGCAATCGGTGGCGCCAACGGATAAGTCTGTTGTGGACGACGACAGAGCACGGCCATAAATAACACGGTGGACGCGGCCAATATCGTACTGCCCCCCGCCACTCGCTTGGCATAATAAATCCACTCGGCTAGCAGTGGTCGGCGGCACCGTTTGTATGGCGAGGCAAAGCTCGGAATAGGCGCCAGATCTCGGTCCGTCAACACGAGGCCGCAAAACGCGTCGATAGAAGGAGGCGGGGTAGTACTACTAGTAGTATTCGTAGTAGTACTAGTTGGGACATCGCCAGGACACACGTCGGCCATCCAGTTGAGGAGGTCCGAAGTGGCGGCAGTGTCGTCTGGTTCGTTTGTACATGCTGTACATGCTTGACGGACCAATGGAGGGAACGACGAGTTGGAGACCGATGCTGTACACACATCTTGGATGCTGGTTTGTCCGTTAGACAAGTTGGCTAGCTTAAGATCAAAGTACGAATCCAAGGTTGTGGCGCTCGCGGCACAGAACTTGCGTGTGCAGAGCGCGTAGTGATAGCCATGGGCGACTTGGGCTTCATTGTCGGTTGCTGATGTGGACGGGTACTTGACCAGCAACCAGTCGTTGACGATCGTGACCGAGGCGAACCCGACGACCGCGGTCGCCACTGCAATCACGAGCATCGCTAAGTACACACAAAACGCGAGCTTGGACCGGGGAAGCGTCACGATGGACGGACACGACGCCGCTACCATAGCTATGACAAGGCACACGATGGCCACGACAAGGTGCACGTTGCAAGAGAAGGCCGACGCGAACCGGAATGCATCGAGCCACGCATCGACGTGGATGTGGGCGGTGGTGTTGGGCTCATGGCTCGGTGGGATGCGCACGGTGCTGCTGATGCTCGTGCCCACGAGGACCGCACAAACGCAGGCGAAACCAAACACAACGGTGATGCCGCTTAACAGCGCGACGTGGAGGCAGGTGGAAGGCGGCGGTGGTGGCGGAGTTTGCATGTGATGAGGTGGTTGCGAGGGCTGTGGCGATGGTTGTGGTTGCGCAGACTGTAGGGTAGATGGTGGTGTAGACGCCGACCATCGAGTCATGATCACAACAACGATGTACTAGATGTCGTCAACCAACGTTCGCTGACGCAGGTAAGTATGGACGGTATGTATATGTATGTATGCTTGGAACGAAAGCTGTTGAGGCCGCCAAGTGAACGAGGAGGTTTTGGGTGTCGCAGAAGTCATCGAGTTCATGTCTCAGACGTATTCCAAAGTCAATGTACAGAGGTGTAATGACCAGTCTCGACGACAAGTGTAGTAGGGATTGGGAGGTTGGTTCTTCACTGGATTCTGGCCTGCTAATCAAGTGCCACAAGGTGCATGCGGAGCTTAGGCCATGGATATGTAGCACTGGATGATGGTAACTACAGCGGCGTGGCCACGATGCCACATTTTGCAGACTTACCTTAACCTGATACAAGTGACCTGAACTCATGACGTTTAAACGTAAAAGCAATAGTATTACTCTCTGCATACTACTAGAAAACAGGAATTGGTGAATAAAACGTCCATGTTTGAACATTTTATCGTGGCTTTCGACTGAAAGGCGGGTATGTTGCATACAGCTGGGATATTTGGCAACTTCCACTTGGCCCCGTACATTCAGTACCTTGATCGATGGATGCATTCTTTGCGGCAAGGCCAACACGCAAGTTTTCTCACGCTCTCACCGAATATCTTTTGGATAATTGCAATGCGGCAAGACCCCCCATGAATCAATCAGGATACACCCTGAGAAGCATGAACGACGGTGTGTCTAAATATCGTTGGTAGTACACAAGGCTAAGGGGGTTTACAGTACTGTAACCCTCTGCAGTCTCCTCGCTGCATAAAATTCCGGTAGACTTGAGTAAGTATTATACATATCGGTAGCTTTAAATGTCACACGTTGCCAGGGATGTTTATACTTTAAGTTTTCGTGTTCATACACTTCGAAGTATGTACGTACGTACTGTAAGCATGGGCGCAGTTCCCTGTAACTTGGTTCTGGGCTACGATACATGATTGGCCGAAATAAAACACTCAGATATTGTCAACTAATCACTTTCAACCATATTGGCATTTTGAAAATCTAGTGGCTTTGAACTGTTTCCAGTCTACTACTACTATTACAATAATAGCAATAACGTTACTATTAACGTTAATAGTGTTTTCACTCATAAAGTGCGCATCATCTACAGCCTGTGGTCCACTACCGCTCCATATAAATATAATAACAACAATACTAATATTTTCACTCTTCACAGTCAAGTGTATTTTCCATCATAGCCAATACAGGTACTAACCAAAAACCACTAGTACTATGTACTATTAATAGTAGTATGCATCAATTGTTGACACTACTTTTCGTTAAATTTTGGCCGCCTTAGCTTGTTGTCATTCTGATACAGTGCGAGTCATCTACAGCCTGTAAAAAATATGAGGTCCAATACCGCTCCATACAAATCTTCAAATAATCACTAATTTTGAGTGAATAATAGTTCACATGTCAATAAATCGATAGTTTACTGCGAGACGATTCGACTACACTGTACTGTAATAGAAGCCCATGGTGGAAATTGACCGGATAAGTGGTAATACTATTAATAGTAAGGAATATTGTGCCGGATAAGGCATACTGTATCCGGTAGTAGCATATCCTATCATTGTTCAATTACATGTATAGCATGGATGGCATTTGGAAAAAAATGGAGGAATGAAACCTAAATTAACGTTAGTGACCAAGCCTTCCATTGGACCCGAGCGCCCAGGAGGCCATCTACGAGAGCGCGAATCTAAGCTTCTCACTTCACCGAATGATCCATCTTTTGTTCTTGTTGGGCAGCGGCTGATAGGCCGTAGGCAGTGCCGCTCCCGGACGAGGCCTGTATGCAATGACCCAGCATCATCCTAATTTGCTTTCATCTGTACTAATTAGGATATGACATACTATTGTGCTTTGCACCTTTTTTGGCAATTCCAGGGTTAAATTCATTGTTTAAAAATTTCTCAGGTTTAAATAATGTCTAAAGTAACTTGAATAACGGTTGGGTGCGTTGTTTAAAGTTACTTCATCTATTGCGATGATTGGTTGGTTGAAGGTGGTTTTACAGGCACTTTCGTAAAACAAGTTGTTTGCCGTTTTCATTCTGGCAAACAACTTGCTTTACGTCAACATGTCAAGGTGCTTGACGCAATGAAACTGAAGGAGCTATGGCCACATACATGACCTCCCATCCGTGATCACTACAGTACTAACATTATCTACTCCGAGTAATGTATATAACGTTAGGGATATAGTTAGGCTACAGTACTGTACATGTAGTCGTCGCTCTGTCCAATGATTCAAAGCTATGCCATACCTTCAACTCTTGATCTGCTCTAACCTTAGCACTGTACGTGGAAGGCAAGGGCGCACTACGACTACACGATGTATAGTACTCCCATTTCACATCCTAATACGGTATGCATCGTGATGAACTGGTGCTTGTACGGCGTAAGTTGGCCTGGTGCTGCAACTCGATTAGTAGCACCTGAAATAAAGTAAGGGTTGTTTTATTCTGCTGAAATGCAGAACTTGTGTTTAGCGTTGTTTTATCTTCAATCGGGCTTTTATTATTTTAAACGTCTGGTTGTTTAACGC